CCTTTATTCTCATAAACTATTTATTTTAAATGTAATTTATTATAAATCCAATTTGTTTCCTAAATTCCACATATGTACTACATTTTACCTCTGTACGCGCCACTGTTGTTTACTTGTTTTTTGGAAGCGCTCTCTAATTGACGGCAAAGCTCGCCAGGTTAGTATTTGACGTATAACCGACCAGTTCGTACACTCGATGCACCTGGGCGACTACAGCTACTACCAGAACACAGTGCGTATGCAGCGGTATTTCAGATTTTACATTGAATTTCATTTTAAATTTGAAATGATTTATCTTACGCCTCCTAAAAATGATGACACGATTTTCCTTTGATAAAAGGCCGACAATTTTTTGCTCTACTTTGCATCGTATACGATCCTACTATAGAGCAGCTTCCTTTAATTTTTCGCATTGAAAGATCAGGGAGAACATGTAAACATCAGAAAATGTATCTTTTCTTGTTTTGTCTAGCAAATTAGTAGTTCAGTACATATTGTACATTCCAAATTCTCATACTTCTCTTATATTTATAAGTTACATATTACATTCATTTATTTTTAATTACAACGAACATTGCAATAAATCACAATTTTTTATAAAAAATCATCACCGAGATACTTTTCTCTAAAAAATTAAACCTCTCTGCTCCCATTGCTCACGCTGCACATCCACTTGGGCTTTGTTAATTCTGTGTGTGGTGAAGATCCTAAAACCAGCTACAAAAGCTGCCTTACACAAGCTCCTAAAGCTTCCATACACAAGCTCTCCAAGGAGACAACATAAACTCAATCTCTAAAGTTTCCAAATCAAACATAAGTTCATAAAGTTTCCATACAGGACGTCATACATTCATGAACCTCAGTGATAACAAAGATGCAAGGGTACCATACTCGACTGGGCTCCCATAAAACAAAGTGCTCAGTGCAAAAAGAAAGGTTCAGTCGAAAACCGCACATAAACAAAAAACACACTAAAGCGTATTTAGGTATAAAATAGATCATGGACTGTGGTCTGTTGAAGTTGGCGTAAAGCATCCTGGTAACCCCTTTGCAGGTGAGCAGGTGACTAACAGATGAAAATGGAGACCCCCAGGAACTCTAGCTTGATCCGATATAAGCTTGAGGGTGCATGACAACCTTTACATGTTAAGAGATAATGAAAATGAGACAACCAATCCACGATAATACAACTACTCTGGTTTTAAATTTGTAGCTCTTTACAAATTGTTAGACTAAAAGAGACTTTCTAATTATTCTCTGATGTCAGGCTTTAAATAAAGGATAAAGGCATAAAAGTCCCCACATTGAAACTTGCTGTGATTCCTGAGAACCATAAAAGTTCCTATCAGCATAATGTTTAGATTTAGTGTCAGGAATACATAGATTTAAAAATTAAGTATTTTAAAATATAGAGGATAAAGAATAAAGCATAAAGTCCCCACATTGAAACTTGCTGTGATCGGCATAAGGAATCGCGAAATTTGGCATCTGTATCATCTGCTCCACATACAATGAAACATAATACGCAATGCAGGCGTGATTGATTCTTGAAAATCATGAAAGTTCCTATCAGCATAATGCTAGATTTACTATTAGAAATACACTGATTTAAAAATAAATATTTTAAAATTCATCTCAAAAGAATGTGCCTATTTTGCAGTGCTTTAATTGTGACTTTGGAGAATCGACCTACATGTTTAATTTTTTTCTTTCTAATTATGTGATCCATCAGCTACTCTAGTCACTTAAGAAGAGTTCGGATTAGTTAAATGGAAACCTGTTACTGGTTTTAACCTCACTGTTGTTTCTTATGTAGTTGTCGTTCACATGTCTCTATTTGTAGAATATGTGGTGACTTATTTTTTATCTTTTGCATAAGCTTCTGGAAGTATTATTCCTTACCTTGCAGTTGAGTTCGATCTCTCTCCTGTTCATAGGTCGACATCTTACTATGACCTTGACGTTCTCTGCCATACCAAATTTAAAAGCACCAGCACGATGACGTGGTACGTAAGGGAACTAAGTCATCTGAAAACAAACGGTGTTTTCAAACACATGAAACGCAAGTTTTAATGAAAACGGGTTAATAATAAAATCAATAACTGACTGGTAATTTTGTTTACATTTACGTTTGCCATTAAACGACGCTGTAGAAATAAATGCGCGTTCCTATTTTTTGTGAGAATATTCTAGTGTTAGACATGCATTCTAATTGTTTTTAGGAATAAAATCTCGAATTGGATGCGATGGCATTGCAATTGACAAGAATTAATAATTGAAGCAAGTACCTAAATATGAAATCAAAATTTTCGATGAAAGATTAACAATAAAGGTCACAGAAATATTTTCGTTTTCGTATAGTTAGTTTGCCAAATAAACTTGGAAAAATAAAATCGAAATTCGAAAATTTTACATTTAAAAAAATCTACTACACCATAACAGAAACATTTTCTTTCCATTAAATCAAATTTGAAGTTTTTAGTAGGTAACACTTAGCAGTTATTGTATTTCGATCTTTAAATGATTTGCGAGTAGCACCAAACAATTATAACAATCAATATTCTCTACCTACACGCAACAGAAATAAGAGGGCAGAGTAATTGTTTATTTGTCGACTTAATGTGAATAGTACAAGAAATTTTCCATCGGAATTCGGAAATATCATCAAAATTTAGAGAGTACCGATATTGCTACGACAGACGTAACTAAAAGTAATGTCTCTTTTACACGTAAGATGAAACAAGTTAGTGCTTTATCTTTCCAACTATATAACACAAAAAGTGTGTACTTCACCGGATTTGAACTTTGGTCACCAAAACGTCAAAGTAACTTTAAACTAATTAAAGTCATATAGCAAGTAGCATCATATAGACCTACTCAAAGTCATATGAACTACTCCTGAACTTGAAAATTGCCTTTAAAATAATATCCCCACTTTAAACGAAAAATAGGCTTATCAAAACACAGAAACAATTATTTGTAAACTAGTCAAACTACTACTACAATGAACATTGACGAACCATAACGTCTACGCTTGAGATAATGTGAATGCTGATTGGCTGAATAGAACCCCGTGAAAAATTACACCAATCACAGCCGGTGGAAAAGAATGATATTAGGTCTGTTCCAACAAGTCAGGGATTGGTTCCGAACCGTCAGAAATGTGCATCCAACTAATTCTTGCGATATATTCACTGAAGACAGATTTAGAACTTAGCTGGCCAAACATTTCGAACGGTTCGGAACCAATCTCTGACTCTTGCTGGAACAGACCTATTAACTTTACGGAAATTTAATTGCCAACATGATGGAATAGAAATAAAATTTCTGTTCCAAGCTAAATTTTACGGTAAATTTACACATGTTTCTTTCAAACGGTAATACAATCTGAAATAAATGTTACTGATACATTATTTTGATTAATTCATAGGGTTATGGGCTTGATGAAGTATAAAATAGAAGAAAACGCCATATTTTAATTAAAATATAAAAATTACGTCGCGAATGGATTTTTTATGGTATGATTAATATTTCAAATGTTTCATAAATTGTAATTCTAACAGCTATTACAACAGCAGGGTAATTCTAATATGAAACCGGCACGCGAAGACACTGAAAGTACTTTATACAGCAAAAACATACAGTGTTCGACGTTATAGGAGAGGCATAACTTAGCCAAAATGGAAATAAAAAATATTATCGCTGCGTAGAAAATTCCCTTGCATGTGCTGAAAGTGTTGACGACGTAAATGTTTATTTGTGTCCATTACACACTGCTCCATTTTCTCAATTTTCAAGAACGTGGCATGTTAAGGTTTATGCAAATAGATGTCGAGATCAAAGGGAGAGATTGGCGATTATTGGAAGAGATATAGGGGCCCAAGTACGTGCATAGTTACGTCTATCTTATTAATAGAGTTGAAAGTATAGCTACGGTTTTTTACATTTTTAATTTGTCTATATTGTAATAAGTATTTTGTGGCAGTCCAATATCTTAACTGTTCAGTTATTTAAAAGAAAATGTGAATGAATAACTATGTAAAGTAGAAAATGGTGAAAGTTTCAGTGGCTCTATGCTCACACTACACAATGCTACTGACTGCCAAAAAAACATGTGCCTTACATTCGACCAAACAAAGCGTCAATTTCACTTACATACGCATAAACGACAATAAAATACACGGCCAACGTCCTTCAGCAAAAAACTTCGACAGGGCAGGCATAAGGGTGCCGCTAGATGCGTAACGAATAAATTGATCGATGCGAAGCTTCAGATCACAGATAGGGGCTGCAAAAATAATGCATCATGCTGCTTTTTTCTTAAAAAACTTGTTTTTCAAATTGATGTTTAATCGACTTTCGGATTGCATACATTCTGCGGAACTTTCCTCATTGGTCTTCATTTTAATAAATTCACCTTAACAGCAAAGAAGTAAATTTCAATAAAAAAGGGAATATGGATCACCGTGTACATACAGCTGATGCTCTTAGTTCTATACACTACATACTTCTAACAAAAACAAACCCTTGTGCGACAGCACACAAACCCTTCTTTACCAATGCCGTTTCAGCGCCCTACTTCACGCTTTGCAGTTGCATTGTCGCGTATACTTGACCTGTCATAATTATACTACATGCTGTGGAGGTGTTTTTCACAGAAATGCGGTGCATTACGGTCCGTTGTTTATTACCTTTGCGGTCGCATGTGCCGTAATCTAGATCAGAATTAAATTTGGGGTGTGTGGTGGTCAGTCCATGATGTCGGGAAAGAAGTAGGAATTCAAAAAGTGAACGAGTTGTGATTTAAATCGATGGGTAACTAGATTTCGTGTTATAATATAGTTAGATAAATATTTATAATGTTTTTTTTGGCAATTATTTTATTATTAAGTATCTTTTTGGTCATTATAACAGTTAATGTCTACTGCATTGAGTTAGTTTTTCATAAAATTTAAGGATATTTTCAAATTAGATTTTATTATTTTTTTTAATTGGTACAACTTGTAGTCTATAAACGTGCGTTAATAAAACCTTTATTCTTTATTTTGGTACCAGGTCCATCTTTACCTTATATGAATATGAAAAGAGATCTAAAAGGAAAATTGTCTTAAATGTGTTCAAATGTGCTCTTCAGACTTTTAAGCGTTCTATGACAGATACATTTTATTTTCATTTTGAAACTGTTGCCTCTTTTTGTAATTTTTTATTTTAATTGGCTTATTTTTTTATTAAAATACAAAAAATATTTAATTTAAGAGAGAAAGAACATTTCCAAAAAAATTATTTCGTTAAATGAACTCAGTGTGTTGTACGAAAATAAAAAATCAACTTATTAAATGTCAATTTCTTGTCGTTACATGAAAGTAAATAAGATTTTTTTAACAAAAAATTCCTGTTTCGACGTTTCATTTTTTCGCGAATTTTCGCAAACGAAGCGGGTCCTCCTCCCTCGCGTCCTACTTCTTTGGCTCGGTTCCAAAGTTGTTCGAAAACGAGAGCAAGGTTACGGGGTCAACAATATCTCATTTATTACTTTGAATTATCGATTCACTTAATAAAGCTAGGTATGAACTTGAAATGGTCTCTATGGGAAACGATCTGACTTACAACAAATGGATGTATAATAATGTACCTAACCGGAAAAGTAATGACATTTTTGTTGTAATTACTTTGTTTGGGAGCGTTTTGTTATTTCCGGGGCTGCTATAAAAAGTAAATAAATATGTTTAAGTGGTCTATTTGACTATTTGTTATTTAATTTATTTAATCCCATTTGAGCTAATTCCGCTTTAAATATTTTTGCAAATATGCTACATCAAAAACTATGGTTTTTCTAAAAAGTGGCTACAAAACCACTGATTTTTGTTTAGGACTAGTATGCCAAATTTTCCCTTGTTTTAATGTTTAAAATAATTTTCATTTCCAAGCAAATAACGAGCGTTCAAATAAAAACGTGGTCAAGTTGGTCCTGAAAATTTGGACGTAGGCCGTAGCGTATAGCAAATGAACTTAAACGTCATCTGTCAAAGCGCTAATCGCCGCTATTAATTTGAATATTTTCGTTTTAAAAAGCGTTTAAAATGGTGTTTTCTCAAAAACAAAAAGTGTTTATCATAGTCCTACTTTAGAAATGGACGCAAGATTGATGGAATATGGAAGTATTCTATTGAGGAATGTTTCATAGAATTTCAAAATCAATTTCCCGGCGTTGTAGAGTACAAAATTTTTCACAGTGCAGTTCAGCGTTGTGTTAATGTTTTTCGTGAAACGGGCAGTGTAACAAGAAAAGAAGGAAGCGGCCGACCTAAAAAGCGGACTGAAGAATTAAAAGAAAATGTCCACCAAATAATGGAAAATGCGCCAAGAACTTCTGTACGTGTTTTATCACAAATGGTGGGAGTATCAGTCGGTACCTGCCACACAGTGTTAAAAAAAGATTTGCGTTTGTTCTCCAATCGTTTAACTTGTCAGCAAGAACTTCATGAAGTTGATTTTCCGCGATGGGCTGTATTTTGTGAATGGTTTTTAAACAACTACGGTGAACTTCATAATATCACCTTTTTTTCTGATGAAGCCTGGTTTCATTTAAGTGGTTACGTAAACTCACAGAATATGAGAATGTGGTCTTCTGAAAAACCAGATAACTTTTTTGTCGAGGGCCCTCTACACGCTCAAAAAATTGGAGTTTGGTGTGCTCTCAATCGAAGGAGGATTTATGGACCTATTTTTTTTTTAATGGTACTCTTACTGCGCAAAGGTATAGAGAAGAAATTATCGCTCCTTTTGTTAACCAGCTGGAAGAAAATGAAATTACAAACTTTTACTCTCAACAAGATGGTGCAAGGGCACATACGGCAGGCGAGACGATGAATATGTTGAGGGAAGTTTTCCAAAATCGACTAATAAGTCTCAATGCTGAACATGAATTTCCACCGAGGTCATGTGATATTACGCCGTGTGATTTCTTTTTGTGGCCTTACCTTAAAAACACTATTTTTGAACTGCCTATTCCTGATTTAAACCATCTGCAGGCTCGACTTATAGACAAGATTCGTGAAATTAACAATACCCCGAGCATCTTAGAAAATGTCTTTAAATTCTTTGAGGAACAGGTGTGAAAAGTGCTTGGAACAAGGAGGGGGACACTTTCAGCAGCTGCTTTAATTTATTGTTATAACAAGGAGGGGGACACTTTCCGCAGCTCCTTTAATTGTTTGTTATTGTTATCACGATTATTCTTTAAAATAAAGTTATATAGTCATTAATGTTATTGAAACTGACAGCTGCTATACAGCTCGTTGAGAAATGAGGTTAAGTTGGTCGCTATAAGCTACTCCCTACGTCCAATGTGTCAGAGCCAACTTCGACCACGTTTTTATTTGAACGCTCGTTACATGATTGACGACTGTTCCATTCCACATTGCGTGACAATACCAGCGGTTTTCACCTGAGATACCTAAGTATATGTTTAAAAAGCCCAGTATATTGTCTTGGATGTACATGTCATTATAATTAAAATACATTAACTTAATGCTTTCTATTTTCCACATAATGCGGTAGTGACTCTATTAATGCCATTGGTAAAAGCGGTAAAATAATATACAGGGTGTCCCGGAGGGTGTCCCGGTACTTGATACAAAAAAGTCGAGTACAAATAGATGAGGTCTAAATAATTTCAGTTCTTCATATAATTTTTTTCTATACGGGCCTTCGTTAACAAGTTACGGGACCTCAGAAGTGAAACATGCTCGAAGCAAAGAGAATTTGGATCTTCCTGTCATTTATCTTCTCGATTCTCAAGCGCACTAAATGACGTCACGAATTAGTGTGACAGCAAACGCCCATTTAAAACATTTATTTTGCTCGTCAAACTTTAATAATTAATTGTTAATTAATAACCTCTAAGAGATTTCTAATATTATTTTTACTTGATGATTATAAGGTTATGGATTATTCCTAGACGTTTAAGAAAATATATGCAGGTTTTCATTTGTTTTTAGTTAAAGCTTGAAGGAGACACTCGTCCATTTTTTCTTCAATTTTTTATAACCCGTGCAAGAATTTTGCCTTGATTGTTTATTTTTCTGCCATTTCCTGACAAATTATAAAATCTAGGCAGAAACTGAAACGAATATTTTTATTTATGGACCTATACATTTTTATGAGCGCTATAACCAGTCCTTAAAAAGAAGATACATAAATTAAAATTAGTTGATAAATAATTTAATGTCTTTAAAGTACCCAATGCAAAAATATTTCCAAGAATATTGATGGAGAAAGTATAATTCCCTAAGAAAATATATATTTTTTCTGGTCGTGTTTAAAGTATATAAAATACGCTGTGAATTACATGTTACAAGCCTATGCAATTATTTTAATGACGCAAAAGACTGTCTCCCCTGATATAAATCAATTGGCATAGTTTAGTCCTTATATATTGTATATATTTTATCTGTAGTTGCACACGACAACCACCACGTTTGTTCATACAAACATGTACTTTTCCGATAAAGTATAAAACATTAAAAACAATTCCAGGAAATACTCTAAAACTATGTCGTTTCCTTCAATGTTGTTAAACTTCCTAAATGAGAATCAATAAGTGGACAAGGTGTTTCAAATTAGATCCGATAATATGTCGGAAACGGCCAGCGATACAGAGGTCATCAAAGTTGTGTGTAAATTCATCAAAGATCTGCCAAAATATAAATTGGAATTCATGGAATTGGATTTGAGCATATCAAAAACATCAATTTATCGCCGAACATTTGGGCTACCGAAATGTGTGTACTGTTTGTTTCACACCAAGTTGACTGACGACCAAAAATTGCTCAGAATTCAACATTCGAAGGACATCACAAAGGAGACCAAAAAGGACAAAAACTTCCAATACAACATTGTGACTGGTGATGAAACGTGGTGTCTAGAAGCCAAAAGTGAAGACAATGTTGATTGGCTTTTGCGATTCTAAGGACATTGTCTACAAATTCGTTCCACCGGGCTTAACCTTAACCTAATGCACAATTCTAACTTGGCGTTTTGAAGCGTTTGGTAAGTCGTTTTCGTCCTATTCGGCCAGAATATCGCGCAGAAGCTGGCGTTTGTTGCACGAGAATACGCCATCTCATCGACTGTTATCGTGACCGATTTTTGACTAAAAATCGCATTTTAACTGTTAACCACTCCCCGTATTCACCTGATTTGGCACCGTGCGACATACCTTTTCGGAAAAATGCCTTTACAGATGAAAGGAAAGCGTTCTGTACAGTGGCGGCGCGTGAACTTTGATTGAATGTGTTCTGCTTAGGGTTGTTACATTTGTTGAATTTAATTCCGGAATATTAAGTGCCCAGAGTCTGTAAATGGCGCCGCAGACGAAAAATTTTAAAATTTTCAAGGTCACGCGTTTTCCTGGCACCTCTGAATTTCAAGGAACAATCCATTTATACAAAAATACAGATTTTCACAGGAACGATTTTTGAAATATCTATTCACGAATTATCTACTGACGGTGTAAATAAATTGGAATAAACTAAATATATTTTATTAAATTATTGAATATTGTTTATAAACAAAAAAATCGTTTGTGAAGTTTACCAACGATTCAACAAATTTTAATTTTCCTCACCGTGATATGAATTTTTCTTCATCTTTATATATATATTTTGTCGAG